CCAAATCTCAAGTTGCTTCTCAAACATATCAAGCTCATCCAATGTCATTCCTTCAGCTCCTCCTCCAAATGCGTTCCTATATATACATTTAAAAAAATTAATAATAATAATAATAAATTAATAAATAAACCCAAGCTAAGCTCAAGTTGACGATGGTGAACCCTTGTTAGTACATTATCTTTCTTAATCACGCTTGCATGATCTCAAAATTCCTTTTATTTGGATGTGGTATCATTCATTCATATACCTGGTCACCTCTAATTTTTTCTTTTGAAAAAATATCTTAGAAAAGTTTCCTAACTTACTAGGTTTTTTTTTGCTATTTCTAAAAAATTATACGCTTATTTACTAACGATTAACCTATTTAAAAAAATATTTTTGAAATCTCGACAAAAATCAAATTTGGATAAAATGAATTGACAATAGAAAAGGTTAAATATCACGTCACTCACTCCTATCCCTTAATTAATTAAAGAACCCAACCAACCATACCGAAATTAAAATCTCATTATTTTGTCTTAAAAAAATTAATCCACCGAATAAAGTATTATTGCATAACACCATCCTTCCTACCCACTTAAAAAGAAAAAAATTCATTCACGCCAAAGATATCAAAAGGATATTTAATATATTTATATATAAAAGACTTTGAAATATAAAGGTAGTACAAAAATAAATACCTACATCACCATTATGCAATTTAATTTTAATGGTGTTATATATATATAATATATATATATATATATTTTAAACATTGAGAGCCAAATGTTTTGTATACCTCAATATTTAAGTTATTACAACTTCTCAAATATTTTATTTCTTTGATTTTTTGTCTAGGTCAAAAAAGCTAACAGACTATTGTTTATGTTAGGTTTATATTTTTTATTTGCAATAATCAAGAAAAATTAAAGGTTATGGTAAAACTTCATTTGAAACGATACTCTGTCTAAAACAAATATTAGAATAAATTTGATTTCTCTAGTGATTTAATATGATGTTTTATCCGTAAAAAAAAAGTGCTTTAATTTCCATTATTTTCTACAGAAATCGATAGTATTACATATTTTCAAAAATACTCTTAACCAAATATTATTTACACGATAATCCATGTGGCTTTTTGCGGGTAATTAACTTTTAAATTTATAGTTGAATTATTTTTCCATTTTTATATTATTTAGTTTCCAAATTGATTTAACCGTCTATTTAATTATTCAAAGCGATCAAGAAAATTTTAAAAATTTATTCATAATGAATTCAAATCTCATGTTGAGATTTTAGTCTAGTGGCATGATTTACTAATTTTAAGAAAGATAAAAAAAATCCAAATTGATTTGAATTTTTTGTAGAAATTATTTTTACATTCACAATCTTCTTTAATTGACTCTTTTTTTTTTTAAACACCCCGGGAAATAATCCTTATTGGTTTGAKAACTTTCAAGACTTCGAATTGACTAATGGGCTCATTAACCTAGTAGATGAAAATAATATTTTTCTCAATTGGCTTTAAAACAAAATAAAATTGGTCAATTTGGGTGGGTTTTTTTTAATAAAATTGGTCACAAATTAATGACGTTTCTTATGGAAAAATTAAGTTCAAATTCTCTCTAATTATATTTTATTACTAAAATAAAATCTCTCGTCCTAGGAAAATAATGGAGTGTTAAAATCATATATAAAAGATTAAATAAATAGATCATAATTTAGAACCTCATACCATGTTTAACTTGTTAAATTATCTATGAATTCAAAAATTTGAGTTAGACCAATTAAATAAAAAGTTAATCATATATAGATATCTTAACAAGGTATATATTCCCGTTGGATTCCAATGATCCATGTTTTTTGTACTTAAAAAAAGCCCTCCTATATGTCATTTTCTCCTTAATTAACCATAACAAATTAATTACTTCTTTGTTTGAACTCATCTGAGTGATTCGAAAGACATTTGTTTTGTCTTTTTAAACTCTATGCTATGGACACTTTGAAATACTAAAACTATTAGTAAATACAATTTGTCATTCATCAAAATATTTTGTGTGATTAAAGCCCATAAAATTAATACTTTCACTATAGTCTTATAGAAAGACACGTATAGTCAAACGGATCAATGGGTAAAGTTTTACTACAAATTACTTGAAATGCATTTGAATAACATCTTTTTTTAATTGGGTACGAAGTTGATCACTATTTCTCGAGCCTACCAATTAGTTAATCTTACACATATTTAATTAGTTAACGATTCTACAAAATTACCTTACATACCTTAATAAATTGAGCTGTGTTGTTAAGCAAATGTGAGTGAATTTGCATCAATGATGTGTAGACAGGTGCTGTGTTAAGTGTTACATCAAAGAGTAGTCAGAGATTCTCCAGCATGATTCAAAACAATTAATTACCACTTCTTCTCAAGTCTTTTCCTTTTCCCCTCATACAGACATTGACTAGCTGCTTCCACCAGTACTTCAAACCTTTCTTTTTAACAACCAACCTAAAACTTCTCTGTTTTGTTCTCTCTCCTGCGCCATTAAGTAATTCAGATCTGTTTTTATTTTTCCAAAAGATACTGACCACTTCATTAAGGAGCACGTGAGAAACATGCAAAGCAAAGACTTATAAATGAAGGTATCCGAATAAACGAAATGATAGAGATATCGTAATTACAAAAAATTTGAGTCTTAGAGAACCAATTCGATGCTATGACTTTGATGTCCTCCTAAAGGTGTACAAGAGTCTTTTAAGAACCGGAAAAGATCTTATTGTTGCGCTCCAGCCAAATATACCAAAGAATTGAGCCCACAGTATTGTACTAGAGAATGAAATGATTGGACTTGGTTGTATATGAAAGAGCCTCACCAATATATTATATACCAAGATTACCGGCCGGAATCGCCGTTGATAGCCTGAATTGGAGGAATTAGAGATTCCAAATCCCTGTTGAGAATTGGCAATGTAAAATTAAGTGGTTCAGTGTTTCATTTGCTATTTTTTTTCCAGAGAACACACCAATTTGGGTTAATTTGGAGAGATTTTGAGCAGTATTTGTGTAGATACGACAATAAACCAAACCCCAGATGAAAAATTTACATTTCTTAGGGAGAATGAGATCCCGTAGCTTGGCTAAATATCCAGGACTAAAATCTATCCAAGGAGGAGCAAGCAAGAGGAGTACTTAAGATTATCTGTTAAAGAGTAATTAAACATGTTATAATTACTTGTACATCTAATTAAGCTATTACTAATTCAAAACCACATGTTTTAGGCCGACATAAACACATGTCAACTAGTTATTCATGATTGTTTGAGTCAATTTGACTAATCTCACAAACAACTGAACTGATAGATCTTTTCTTAACTTGTTTGGACCCAATCCAGGATGGTTACCTTTAGTTGTAAATCTAAACTAATTGTTAAGAATGAATAAAACACCACCCAACCTAAAGTTTAAGCGAATGAATTAGCTAAATTTAATTTATATAAGAATATTTATTAATACTAATTGAAATAAAATATTAATAAAAATAAGTAAACATAAATTATTATTGGTGGTGAGTCTGTACTAAAAAGAAATATATGTTAATAGTGAGTCCAAAAGATTAATATCAATAGTCAATCAATATCTATATTGATAATTTATTACAATAAATGACCTTTTTTTATTGTAAATGATCAAAATCAAAGGTTGCTCACAGATATAATTATACTAAATAAAAAAGGTTATGCAATAAAAAGTTGACAAAATAATGGTACATCAATAATCCATACTATGAGAGAGTTTCTAATACACACTAAGAAAAAAAAGATACAACATTTCTTTCAACAACAACACACAATCAAAGACACACAGA